TTTGAATGTATCAAAAGTATTTTCATTATAACTGCTTGAGAACCCTATGTTTTCAAAGCTTATGTAATGCTCTGAATATGGTATATTTTAATGGTCTTAACTCTTCTAAATGTTTATTTACTTTCAGACTATTTTCTACATCTTTGTTGTTGTTATCCTAATGTTTCAGCAATTGTGCTCTCTGGCCTTCATCAGGTATATATTGATCCAGGTAACTTTACAGGGAATTCCAAAGGGAACACTTTATTTAATCTACAGAAGTAGACTTTTTCTCATTCCATTGTCCATGTCTAAAGATATCTAATTCTTATTTTTATTACTGCTCAGTTATTTCTCACCTTGTATTACACAGTCTGATCAAAACCACTTCTGGACGAGGACATCTGCACATAACTCCAGATGATCGAACTTGTTCTCAGCAGCTTGCAATCAAGTGTGCTTTATTTATTTTGGTTGGTATTTACTTTCATTTTAATTTTGTAGTTTTCATGTTGTCTCTCACTGATGGAAACTGACAATCTGTGTAAAGTTATAGTATCAACTAAAAAACTGAGATGAAAATAAATACTAGCCAATAATAAAGTACACTTGAGGCTGAACTCAAAGTATACTTTTGAGTTGAGATTGTTGCATATTTTTCTCACCACTGACAAAGATCAGTGTTTGAGTCCAGATAAAAAGCCAAGACTTCAGATGCTGATTTTTCTAGGTAGGCCATCTCATGCCATCAAGAATGTTGTAACACAATCTTTCGACCTACATTTCTTTTCATTTGGCTTTGTGTGATGCTAAGCTAAACTTACATCTCAGGGCAACTCAGGAAGGTAATCAGTAGACTATTACTACTGCATAGTGAGTTTGACCTTCATTGAGTTCCCCCACAATATAGCCTTGTGTCAAACTAAGGTTAGAAGTTATTGAAAATCTTTTGGCTATATTCACTTTCTAAAATATGAACAAATGACCAAACATCAAATTTCTTTTAGAAGAACTTTTTGGTTAGGTTAAAACTTTTCAGCATCCTTCATACTTAAATGCAATTTCCATAAACAGAAATCAACACAACATTGGAACAGTCAGTTTCAAGCCCAAAGCAATCATTAGACTATGTGTGGATCTGATATAGAGAATTCTGGGGTTTGTGTAAAGTAGAAGGTAAAACCAGCTTTTCCTTTTGTTTTTGCTTAGGGCTAATATTTTACATTGTTTATTTTATTATATTTTATTTATTTATTTTCATTTTATATTATTTATTTATTCGTTATTATTATCATAATATTATTATCAACAACAACAGCACTAATAATAATAATAATGATTAGAAATACTCATGAAAATTTCAGTTTTCCTATTTGAATTTTCTGATGAATCTTAATTCTTCAGTTCAATAAGCTCATGGTGAGTTCTACAACAATAAAATATCCATAGAAATTACACTACTGCATCATTAAATATTTGAGCTTAACAACTTTAAGAAAATATTGCAATAATAATCATAAATATGAATTCTGGTCATTATTTAAAGAAGTAAGGGAGTACAAATGAAAAGATTTGAATTTGACAACTTTTTTCCTTTCACTGAAACAGACTTTAAACACATGAGATTGTTACTGCCTCTTCTATATTCCCTTCTCATTCTCACTTTCTCACTGAAGCAAAGTAGTGTTTCTGATATGTCTTTTCTGTCTATTCACATCAAAATGGAATAGTCCATTATTTATGAGTTATTGGTAGGCCATAACATACATATGCACTAAGGAATGGAAAAGAAAAATTTTGATAATGATTAAACTAATTTATTTATTTTTTTGTATACTTTCTTTAGTTGTAAAATGTGGTATTTGACTCAAAAGACTAAAATACTAATGACTCATAACCTCAATCTAATAAGCTTTATTTCAAATACCAAACTTTAGAACAGAAGAAAGTATAGAAAAATAAACTCAAGTTCAAAATTAATTTATATATATATATATATATATATATATATATATATATAGTCATCCACATGAATGACTGGCTGTTTCACTGTATCACAGCTCCTCATCAGTGTGTCTAGACATGCTATTGCTTCAAGCTGGGATTGAAACCCAACCAATTTGACATCATTCAGAGACTCTCACCCTTAGGTCATCAGTGCACATGGTGGAGAAAATGAATTTTTAATGATTTATTTATGAGATATAAGCATTACCAGCTACCAGAATGCTCAATTCATAGTGAAGAGATTTTAGCATTAATTAGCAGCTGGCAACACTTTCCCTTTCTTCCAGAGGGGGCATATATATAATTATATATATATATATATTAAGCAATATACATAACATCTTACATTAATTGTGCAGCTTGGAGTTTCATGCCAAAGCAATTTTCAAGTGCTGTAATAATTATCTAGCTGATGCATTTTGACTCACAGAGGATAAAGCATGTCGGCTAAAATTTTTAACCATTGGTATATATATATATATATATATATATATATATACCAATGGTTTTAGTGTGCAGTCCTTGTTCAAATTGTTAATCATACTAGATAACACACTCTCTCTCAAGAACTCTAACTAAGGTTCACCCAGCATAGTTGAAGTATAAACCACAGGTGAGTATTATGAGTGTTGAACAAAAACAAATGTGCCTGAGCAGGCGTCTGCAATAGGGATTGCCTAGCCAGCCTAGTATATGGGCATCCTTCGATGTGATTGGCCAGCCGTATATATTTATATATATGTGTGTGTGTGTGTGTGTGCGCGCATGCATGTGTGTATATATATATGTGTTTGTATATGTGTGTGTGTATGTTCTATTTATATAGGTAGGAGATCTTGAAAATGCAACATTCTCTTCTGCCTAACTGGCTGTACAGTGTAACCCGGATATAAGAGAGTTGTCGGGACCGGAGAAGAAGTCTCTTATATCCGGGTTTCTCTTATATCCGGGTTTGGCCTATTTTGTTTAGGTAAGTATGGGAACACTTTGGGACCAGAGAAAATCTCTCTTATATCCAGGTTTCTCTTATATCCGGGTCACACTGTACTTTCCAAATACACTTGAAGGGTAGGGTTAGATAAGATGTCTTTAATTTCTTGGCATTAGATTTTAGAGGTCATCTTTTAGAAAGACTGTGTCATGGATTTGCATATAATATTATTCTCTGGTGTATTGCTTTAAAATAGTAATCCAGATATACATTAAAGCTGATTGTTTCATTTAAGTCAGTGTTTCCACAAGTTTTTGGGGCACAACCCTAAACCGTTATTTTTTAGCTTGTCAACCTTCAAGGCAAAAACATAATTTTAGTTTCTTTATTTAGTTTTATTCAATAAATATTGAATTTGAGTAGGTACGGTGAAGTATTGGATAGTGGCTTGGATTGAGGAATCGGAGAGCCGAGTTTGAATTCCAGTCAAATCCATTACATTCACTTACATGCTAATACCCTTGGGAAAGGTATGAATCCTCTTCTTCTCTCCCCAGCTATGGGTAAATAGCAGGACAGACTGGGTTCTATAGCCTTGGATAGCAACTGGCCTACCGCAGAAAGAAATGGCAACTGTTATATTCCGTGCTAATTGGAAAAGATACTTGAAAAACAAAGTGGATAAAATAAGTAAAGGTTTATTGTAAAAACCAATACAATAAGAATAAAGGTAACAGTTATGCACAAGGTTGTCACAAGTCAATCCAGTAGTGAGTGCTACTATTGGAAGGTCAGTAGTTCTCGTGTAGGTCTGAGTCGTACTCAACAGATCCCAGCTAGACTCTGTAGTCCATTGACTTACAGATACTTATAGGCAGTGTAGTCACTGATGGGGTTGACAGGTTATTCCATTACATCAGCGACCTACTCTGGGGAAAAAATCTGCCTCATGAATCATGTATCGAAAGATACATGATCAATTAAGCGTGTATCATGTATGGCACATAACTGACTGACAATAAATATTATTGAATTTTATTTTAATTTTATATTTCTCCTTATTTCTTACGTTGATTGAAGAAAATGGAAAGCACAGCTTCAATGTATCATATGAGTATTGTAAGAGTAAGAAATGATACTGGGATTGTGTGTTGGGCTTCAGTTGACTAAGTATACAAGTGTTACATGTGAACATAGTGGAATACATCAGAAGTTATGATATATTTAATGATGATTTATTATTCACAACTATTTTCCTGCTCTAGCCTCAATGACACTTTACATTCAGCAATTGTAATCTGCACTTTTTTTATTTTATAACTATTTTTTTACTCAGCCTTCATACAACCCCACATTTGAATCATGATTATTCATGTGAAAAGCAAAAAATAAGTGAACAGAGACCCACTAGGTTCAGAAGTTTTAGGTTTATTAATATATAAATATCAGTCTTTTATTTTAGAATTATACCGGACAGTGGGAGTTTAGATTTTACACAAAGATAAAAATAATAGTTGTTTGATTGCTTCATGAATGTCTGGGAAATAAAACTAAAGATAAATTAATTGTAGAGTTGTTAATTAGAAAATAAGGTCACTCTTGCTTCATATAATAAATATATCTTATATATAATTTATTTAAGGATATTAGTAATACTTCTGAAATTTTAGAAAATATGTTAAAAGAAAACACAACTAACTTTTTCTTAAAGTCATAAAAGTGGCTCTTAAGCATGATGTTAAATCACTTTTTCTATGTAGAAGTTATTTTATTTGTAAATAAATAAGGTTTTTTATTGATTGATTCATTTTCTATAGCATATCAACCTTTTCGCAGGTTATTTAAAGCCAGAAAATATTTTTAGATTGTAAAATTTTGGGGAGGGGAGATAATAATGATTTAGGTCTTACAAATTACAAGATAATAATGATACAGGTCTTACAAATTAACCTATAGCAGGGGGTAGAAGAGGTGGATTCATACCTTGCACATAAGTGACTATAAGGAACCCAACTGAAATTGAAACTTGGCTCTCTGATTAACAATTCCAAGCCATTATCCATTACACCACCTGCACATCCAAGCTGGTATTCCCATGCAGTCATCCATCTAGGTACTGATCAGGCCTGATGTTGCTTAACTTCAGTGATCTTGTGGGAACCAACGTTTTGATATGATATGGCCATAAGGAAATAAATAAGGGGAACTGGTATACATATATAAAAATACGTAAATTTTCATTATTTTATGTCACAATTTTAATTTTTTCTGTTTCTTTCAATGTTGATAATGATTTGTTTTTCAGCTTTTGTAACAAACACCCAAACATAGAAAAATTGGCTCATTATTATTGGGGTGAACACAAACCATAAACTATTATGCAGACATTACTAATTATTTTATTTCTCTCTCTCTTTCAATGTTGATATGATTTTCTTTTTAGCTTTTGTAACAAATATTCAAAAATTGGATCATTTTCACTTGAGTCAGCATGAATGAATACTCCCAAAATTATTAAGTTGTAATTGGACTAGAAACTACTTTATTTCACATTTTAACAGCACCATCCTAATAACATTCTTATGATATACTGTTTTTGTTGCGTAGTAAATATGATCATTATTAATTTTTGACAAGTATCTATTTTATGTTATTGCCCTTTATTGCATGTTGTCTTTTTTCCATTTATTCTACAATTGATAAGAAATAAAGAAGTAGAGGTATTAGATGTTATTTTCTGTATTATGTTGTCCAAATTTATTAGATAAAGCAAGAAAGCATTTTTATTATTATTATTAAACAAAATGATTGATTTTAACTCTTCCAATATTTTGCAACACTCCCAGAAAAGTGTGATTTCAGAAAAGAAAAGACTGAATTTAACAATATTTTGACATTATGTCTGTCTCTTTCAAATTATGTTTAAAAAAGCATACAAGTATAAAAATATAAAAACAGTTCCAGGAATATTCGCCATAAATATATTTGCCATAGGAAAACTCACCTCAGAAATTTTCGCTGTAGAAAACTTTGCTGTATAGGATTTTTTTTTAATATGCGAAGTACAATGGAACCTCGGTTCACAAAGTTAATTTGTTCCTGAAGCCCATTTGTAACCCGAAATGTTCACAAACTGAAACTATTTTTCCAATAGGAATCAATGTAAAATGGATTAATCCATTCCTGGTTCCAAGATTGCTTATTTAAACTTTAACAACAGTACTTTGTGCACAAGTTTATACACAAAACTAATGAAAAATCATATAATACATAAAACTAATGAAAATCATTAAATCTAAGAAAAAAAATAATACTAAACAGATCATAAAATATAGACACACACTTCAATTTTACTGTACCTGCATGTAGGAGAGTTGATGGTGTAAGTGGAAGAGGAAGGAAAGAGATATTATTGTTTGAAAAGGGGAAAGAATGACATAATAATCTCTTTATTTATATAAGAATAATATAGATCATTGCTTTTGTCATATGAAACTGAGTAGGAAGAGACAATATCATCATCATAGAGACAATATCAACAATTGTTTTTCTCTTAACTTTTCTTTTACCTTTACCAGTATCACTGCTAGCTTTCTTTGGCGCCATGACTGAGGACTAATGAAGAGAAAAAAGGCACAGTACAATACAATTGGAAAACAAAAGCACAGCATAACACATGAATGTATACAACACGGTAGTTGACTAATAAATTATTCCATTTGAGTTAACTCAGTTCAGCAATGTTGTTCGAGAACTGAAATTTTGTTTGATATCTGAGGCATTTTCATCTGGAATATTCTGTTCAAAAACCGATTTGTTCGACATGTGGGATGTTCGATAACTGAGGTTGCACTGTACCTTGTTATCAAGTATACCTGGCTTACACTAATTGTTACTTCGATTTAAACATTTTAATAAGTGGAGTTATAGGATCAAAATCCTACATCATTCATCCTCGTTTACAACTTGATACTAGAACCTACATCATGCAATTTCATATTTCAGACTAAGCATTAAACTTTCTGTTAACATCAAGGAGATGCAATACAAATGAAGAAAATATATATTGATATCAATGCAAGACTTCAGTGGAAAATTCTTCATTACAGTCCAACACAAAAAAACACATTATTTACGACAAAACATTGCTTGGAATTTGCACACAAATTATTTAATTGTTAATTTGATATATTTTTAGTCTTTTTTTTTTAAATAAATGTTTACTTTTTAATTTCTTTTCTGATGTTTGACCCTGTAAAAAAGACATCCATATATACTTGATAATAAGGTACTTCACATATTAAATTGAACATTACTCCAAAAGGGACGTTCAAGATAAGGGTATTGAAAAAAAATGCAGCAAAATTGTCTTACGGCAAAAATCCTATACGGCAAAGTTTCCTACAGCGAAAATTCCTGAAGTGAGTTTTCCTATGCCAAAAATGTTTACGGCAAATGTTTCGGATAAACAGGTCTTTATACAAACATCACTATCATGCTCCTTGTGTCAGAGTTAGCTCCTCTTTAATTCCCTAATTGGTCACTAGGGGATGCTCTCCCTACACTATAAATACTGGGCAACTTATTACCTCGTTCTCTTTTCTACTTTGCATTTCAGCAGACATATTTAAAAATGTAATCTCTTGTAGAAATTCGCGTTTTGCCCACTTGTGGGAAAACGCCATGAAACATACATATACGTATGTACGAACATTCACCAAAGACCAAACTCTTTATGTAGGCACACAAACACAAATGTTGATGTCTTTGTCACTTTTAAATTTGTTGTTTAATACATATATGTGTTGACATATATATATCAGTCTTGTTTGTTTTCTTTACATCTTCGGTTGGACTCAATTTGAGCCCACCATTTTCTTGTAGTTGGCTCTTCTAGCAGGAACAAACAGCACATGTCCCTAATTCAACAACACTCAAACCCTCTACACTTGCATTCCTATTACATTCACTTCACACTAGCTGTGTCTTACTCACTTTGTCACATTGATTACCATCACAATCATTTTTCTCAAAACAAGCAATGTTTGTACAAGGACTTGTTTTTTATATTTTTATACTTGTATGTATTTTCTAAAGAGATAATTTGAAGAAGACAGATATACTGTCAAAGTTAAACACTGTGTCTTTTCTTTTCTTTTTTTAAATTGTGCTCTTCTGGATGTATCATATAATAATTGTGCTTGTCATTCCCTTCATTAGTTTTCATGACTGTTATGTCCTGCCAATACCTCATGATGAACTATTCCATTTTGATCACATGGAAAGACAAAAGACATATTAGAGATGCTACTTGGTTTTAGTGAAAGAAAGAAAGAAGTATTTAATATCTTCTGCTAATACCTCATAAATAATGGACTATTCCGTTTTGATCACTTGAGAAAACAAAAGACACATCAAAGATGCTACTTGGTTTCAGTAAGAAAATTAAAGAAAGAAGAGAAGATAAAACTGTTTAACATCTGTCTTAGTGAAATAGAAAAAGTTTTAATTTCAAATCTTTACATTTGTGCCTACTTACTTCTTTAAATAATGACCAGAATTCATATTTATTATTGTTATTGCAATATTTTGTTAAATATGTTAAACTCAAATATTTAATGGGGCAATAGGGGAACTTTTATGGATATTTCATTGTTGTAGAACTCACCATGAAAATATTCAATCATTAACTGAAGAATTAAGATTCGTCAGACATTTAAAACAGGAAAACCATGAAATATTTTTAGGGTTAAAACTAGTTATTATTATTATTATTATTATTATTTAACTAATAATCTCCTTTATCTTACTTCTATTGCTGTTTATTGCAACTCTTGCATTGTTTTTTACATTTATTCCACAACCATCAAATAACAATATATTTCAGAAATAAAGAAATGATGAAATATGAACTTGAATGTCCCAGGATTCTGCCTTACGATAACAGCCTTTTACTGATATTTCCTAATAGTGTGATTTAAATAAGCCATGTAGCTATATCTGTTTATGATAAATAAGTAAAGAATTGTCATGGTAATAGACATTCTCAAGGATAAGAGATGTAAATTAAAATCTTGCTAGAGGCTGATTCGTTATCTCCAGCCCAAAGTCCATACTGCTTGCTTGCTTTATGAATAGTCATATGACAGATAATAATAATGATCTGAGTGTTGTGATAAACAAAAAGAAAATGAAAGAAACAGTAAAAAATTAACAATGAAAATGCTTCATCTAAGAAATGTAAAGGGGGGGATAGTATGGTATATCTGGCAACTTGTATTCGAAGATACCCATCTACTAGGGCAGCTAGCCGATCCCTGTTGCAGACGCTTGCTCAGGCACATTTGTGTTTACTCAAAAACCACAGAGCCCACCTGTGGTTTATACAGCAACTGTGCTGAGCAGACCTTAGTTACAGTTTCTAGGAAAGTGTGTTATCTAGCGTGATCAACAATTTGAACAAGGCCAGCATGCTCAATCTCTCAGCCATGATGACTTGTGACTTCATGCTAGCACAGCTACTGACGGCCCTCAAGAGTTCCGTCTACTCTATTTCACTCATAAGACTTGGGTCAACCTGTCATATGATTTTCAGGCACTTTCCAAAATTACCACACACTGGAATTGACTCCTCCAGTCCGCTAACATCAGGATGTCTCCTTCCTGACAAATCAAACATGATGAGATTTGAACCCATGTCTCATGGTCAGAATGCGAACATTCTAACCACTCAGCCACGTGCAAAGCAGGGATAAAAAAGTAGAATATATTGAAAATTATTTGAAAAAAAAGGAGGCTGGAATTCGAACTTGGCTCTACCGATTCCTCAATCTGAGCCACTATCCATTACTCCACCATGCCTCCTCCAATAATAATAGTATTGGAGGAAGCACGGTGTTACCAATAGTAATACTTTTATTTCCTTCTTTTATTTGTTACCTAATAAGTAGATAGTTGAATAGAAAGTTGAAAATTTGCAAAGCTACTTGATTGCAAAAGTCAATTTCAAAAAGAGAAGTAAGAGAAGTTTGCTTTTTTGTTTCTTTTAAATCTGTTATGGGGAATAATCCACTAATTTGAGAAAGAGTTTGGTTGGTTAATTTTGTTTAGCAGCATATCAACCTCTATGGGTTATTTAATGCCAAAATCTAAATATTTTGAACACAATTACAAATAAAATGTATTGTTGGTCATTTTGCTATAAAATATATTGCTGGTCATTTTGTTATAAATAGGTATTGTTGGTTATTTTACTATCAATATGTATTGTTGGTAATTTTATTATAAAAATGTATTTTTATACTTTCATAGTGTTTTGATTTTATTTGGGAGTTCATTATTTGCCCATAAGCTGGGACCCTAACAGGTGCACCACCCCAAGTAAGGGCAGACCTGGGAACAACAGCAATTAAGAGGTGGTTCCATGCGGGAAAGAGAAAAGAAAATTATAAATAAGAGTAAAAAGTATTAAACTTTGATTATATTGAGTCTGGCACAAGGCCAAGTTTTAAGAGCATTAAATTTGTAATTACACAATCAGCATTGTTAACAGTTGCCCTTGGTGAGCAAATAACAAAGTTGTCTGATTGGGTCTTTAAATAGTGAACTGGGTTATTTTTAAAGCATCAGCATTGCTAAATTTTAAATTTCACTAATTTCACTACCTTTCAAGACACATTAGTTCGCCTGGGTGCACTAGTTGAGAAAAGCTTCTCTATGTATTAAAATGATTTATTAATTTGAAAACTAATGCATCAGTTGTTAAAAAAAAGATTGAAGGAATTCCATCACAAATTAACTTGATACTTTTTTAGTCCTTCAGCAATTAATTTAAATAGGGAATCCTGGTAACTGGAGAGTGATCTGCTGACACTGACAGAATGAGGCACTAAAAAGTGTGAAATAATGTCATTTAAAGTCTATTAAAATAGGGTGGTTCTTTTTTTTTTTTTTTGTCTCCGTCAAATGAAGTTCAATTGACTTACTTTTCTGAGATTGACCGACTCAAGAGTTTCGCGTCAAAACGCTCATGTTCCATAAATCTAGTGATATTATTATTCTGATACTTCTCGGAACAAAGGCTAAGCATAACTTTCTTGTACATGTTATGGACACCAGTACAAACTGTAAAATTCAAAGAAATAAAGTAAAATACAAAAAAAATAAAAATAAAAAAATAATAAAAATACACTAAAGGCTGCCACGTGACGGTGGCGTGACATTGAAACTAAATAAAATGCATAAAAAACATAACGCACCAATAAATTTTAAAACGCTCAATGTATTTTTAACAAAACAAATCTTTATTTGAAATGTAAGCCGAAGCGGAAGAAACCATTTGGACAATATTTGTACAGCTTTGGTCCTAACCAAAAAGAAATATATAATTCAAAATCCAATGTTTAGTAAATCACTTGGCACTTCGACACGACACTGTAACTGTAAAAAGTGTAAATGATTAGAAAACTTATCTCGTTTTTACTAAATGAGTTCGATCCCCGGCTTTCGGCCTTGTGTCACATCTAAGCTACGCTTAGAAAAACGCCATAATTCAAGGACGTCTACAAGATCGCTAGTTGCCATTCATTAATGTTGTTAAATTATTAAAATATTTGATTAAATTAAAACTATAACTGAAGTTAAGCCAAAAAAACAACAACAAAAAACGCCAAAACTAAAACAGTAATTATTTTTTCAGATAATTTCAACACTAAAAAAAAAATTAACGTGCAAGAAAACTAAAAACAAGTTTGCTGTAAGTCAAATTTATTCTGAAATATTATTTTATTTTTATTGTAGTCAAAAAATAAATAAATAAAGCGTAAGCTACTGCTAATTACCCTTTTAAAATTAAATGATCAACAATAAAAAAAAAACAAAAACAGTAGCACATTTTGCTCATCATTGTCTTCGTCCCGATTAATATTGTTTAATGTTTTTTTTATTAACAGCAAGTCGAATTCTAAAATTGATTTTATAATGATTACAACAGGGTAAAATAATAAAGACAGCAAATGATACCTAGAGACTTAAACGTGCGAAAATTCTTCTTAAGATCGAAGTATAAAGTGCAAGTGCACACGTGTCCCAAGACTAGCAGCAAGGGAAGTAACTCTAAAAGCCTGATTCCATATGGCAGCCATAGACAGGGTCCGAATCCTGGTGCTTGGAGATTCTGGTACATATTTTTTTTTTTATTAAGTTACACATTCTGCTATTATTAAACCAGAGTGATATACTTTAGTGCTTTTGGTTTATTCACTTGTCTATTTAAATTTTACGCCCTTAAGTAATAACAAAAATAGAAACATCAATCCGCAATAAGCTTCGACTGAATGAATGAAAAATGCGAATTAAATCTTTTTTTTTTTTTTGAATTGTTACTTTTTTTTGTAATTAAATCCGGAAGTTTGCTGTTATCATCAAAGTTAAATATTTTTTAAAAATAAAACCAAGCTTATTTTTAATGGTGCACTTTGTTAGAAAAAGAAAAAGTCAACAGTGCAATTCTAAAATAAAAATTCTTTTGTTTCGCTGTTTAAAAAACTTTCGAATGCGTGTTCAATATTGATTGAATTGAAAGGAAATTAAAAAAAAGTAATTTTAAAAGTAAATTACATACTTAGTTTTCTTGACATTAACTTTAAATTCAACTTGTGAGTATTTAATTAGTTAAAAAAATAAAAGGCATTATTCTAAATTTTTTCATGCAAACAAGCGTCACTGCTTCAATAGCAAAAAAATAATTTTGTTATTTAGTATAAATTTCAATTTTAAAATAAAGTTCAGTTTACTTTGCATTCTAACCTAATAAATGAAAATACTTTTTTTAATTGGTAGAAAGAAATTAAATTTACTGCTGTTAAAAAGTGTAAAAATGCTCATATTGTTCAATAGTTTATTGTTTTTATATCTGACCTTTTTTTTTCTTTTTTGCTTATAAAAAATAATTTAAAAAATCCTAGCTATAAATCAATTTTTATCTTGTAAAAATTAAATATTTAAACATTGTTTTCGATGAATGCGTACAAGGTTAAATACGGATGACCGGAAAACATTTTCTAAAAAATAAATTCAATTATCTCTTCTATTTTAATTTTATTTTTGCGAGATGAGGTGTTTCTTACTTTGTGGTTGGATTTTTGCAGTTGTATAGGCACTACGACCAGAAATAATTATTTTTCCCCTAGATTAAGATTTAATCATTTACAGATAAAAAAAATAAATAAATAAATTTCATAAAAGTTGATCGTAGTCCAGTTTTCTATGTATTGTAAATTGATTGCCCTACAAAAGCGAAAACAAAATATGCTCATTACGTGATGTCGTAAACACTGTAGATTACGAATTAAAAAATATATCTATTTTTTTTTTAATTTTATTTCTAAAACTAAGAAATTACATTGTATATTTGACTTCTGTACGCCGGAGGGGGGGGCAATTACTACAATGAATTTACATAGCAAACTGAACTCCTTTTATATTTTTTTCTAAATTTCATTATGTGGAGTGTTTTTTAAATCAATCAATAATAAAAAACGAATTCTTGTAAAATTCCAACGTATTTTTTTATTTATTCATTTACAAAGAAGTGAAAGGCTTCTTCTTAAATAAAAAAAAAACTAATGTTAAGTAAACGATAGGGAAATTTACTTTTCAAACTTATTTTGAAAAATACATTTGAATTTTGTGCAAAATTTGGTCGTTTTCGTAAGGGCTAGAGAGAGATTTATATTCGATTTAGTAGTTGTGAATTGTTTGTTTATTTTTTTCATTTTTTTTTTTGTTTAATCAGGAAGTGCCTTCTCGTATGACCCCCACCCCAAATTCGTTCAAAGCATACTTGTTGAACTAGTTACTAAATTAGACTAGTTAGACGTAAAAAGACGAGGCTATATGAAAATGGGAAGCTCCTTAAACAGAAAAAAAAAGTTACTCCTTTCCTGCTAAAGCTAAACACATTAAAAAAAAAGTTTTTTTGTTTCTCCATCCCCCCCCCCCGGATTTTGAAGTTCACTACCGTGCCAATTGTTGTTTTATGATAAAATTTGACACTGAATGGTTTTTTTTTTTTTTTTTTTTTTAACTGTACTTTGAATAAAAACGAATTATTGTAGTTTTTAACTTAAGCTATTCAAACATAAGTTCATCGGAAAACAATTTTTAAAGTGCGCTTTGGGAGACACTAAAAAAATGTCAGTCTTTGAATGGCTATATTTTTTTTTTTTATTTTTAAAGTTTTTATTTATTTTAAGTTACCATAACGCAGAGTGGGCCGAATTGGTGGTTGATTACAAGTTCATAATTCGAAACTATTACCACTGAATTGTAGAGGGACCAGACAGGCTGCAAGCAATTGTTCTGTCAGGACAACTTACATAAACACACAAAAAGTAAACTGATAAATTCGTCCTTCACATTTGATGGGAAGGTCAAGCTGTCTGTCAGGAACGTGAGATTCCGTGTAAAATTACAACTTACAATGATTTTTTTTCACTCTCTAATTTTCGTACTGTAAGAGACTTATAGTAACTAAAAGTTAGGTGAAAATTTATAGTTTCATTTTTATTTTTTCTTTCATTACGAGCTGACTTGATTTTCCTCCTTTTTTCTAACTAAAAAGAAACAAACAAAAAACTTCTACCATAAAAAGTTATTTTTTGTTTTTTAATAAACGAACGAAACCTAAACAAATTTTAGCTCAACTTGTTTTTCCTTTTAATTATTTTTCCAGAAAATAAGTGCATAATTACTATACAATTTAAAAAATTAATCTGTACTTTTTAATAACACATTTTATCTCCTCATATTTTTTTTTATTTAGTTTTCTTGTATTTTAAAACTCAAAATATATAAAATAAATTAATTTCAATAGTCAAAAAAAATAAAATTTGATAAAACGAAACAAGAAACATGTTTGGCATCTCCCACCTAACTAAAAGGAAAGTTAATAATGGACAATAAGAACTGGTTAAACTAGATGCAACTTTACTCAAAAAAATAGACATTGAATCTTTGTTCCTGTTGTGATAATTATACTTTATGAACAGATACAATCTACAATTTTATTTACTTAGCTGTCTAATTTTGATAAGATTAACTAGTTGACTAATAGATAATCTACAGGTATCGTGAAGTAAGATTATTATCTCATGACTTTGTTCTTTGTCTTGGCTTCCTTTGCTTTATCTCCTAATTCTCTCTTTTTATCTATTCCAATCTTTGACCATGTTTTCTTCCAATATGAGTTTCATATACAGAAAAAAAATGACAAATATTTTCAATTGAATCCTATTTCTTTTGCTTTGTCTCTCCATAAAGAATTAATTAATGTATTACATTTTTTTTCTGTCATTCCACCCTTGTTTGCATTTCAATCTTTGGCTTGTTTTTTAGTTTTTTTAATATCCCTCAGTTCTATGGCTCTTTCTTCTTTTATCATGCCTCTGCCATTATATTTCTTTCTTTTCACTAGCTTTCTTCTTGCTTACCTCTCTCCCCTTTTATTCTCTACTCTCTTACCTCACTTTTCACAATTACTCGCTTAATGTCAGTTTCATGAAGGCACCGATATTCATAGAACTTAAAACGATTACTTGGTTACTTATTTTAATGCATCATTTAACTTACAATTATTGCCACGTGACGCAAACAACAGTCGGTGCATTATTTAAACAAATTAGCTGAACATAACCAACAGTGTTTTTTCTTGATCATGTATGACTTATATTATTGCCAAGTAAGACTTTTTACATTTAAGTAATCCAAAGTAACACAGTTAATCAAAGTAAGTGCTGTATAATTTGTTGTGTTTCTTGATTAGAAAAGGTAATTGAAGCTTAGAATGGCTGGTAGATCAGCCATGATACTTACACACTGATACTTTTGAAGATTGGAGGTGGCAGGTAAGCAAGAAACTGGAAGTTCCACAGGCGAGAAGTGCAAGAAAAAACTATTAGGATAGAACTTATAGTTACATCTATTTCAACAGTAAAATGATCAGATCTCATTGCAAATCTAGCTTAAATTCATGTAGTTAACGTATGAAGAACAAAAGTTCATTACAACAATTGCTATGAAAATATAGAAAAGACTGAGGGAAGTCACATCACATCAGTGAGAAAGTGACTGAAATCGAGATGTCAGGTCAGATAACATTACAAACCCTTCTTTTGGATTTTGTTAAGAATGTCTGGATATGTTACAGAAGGTTCAAACCAGATATAGAAGCAATAGTCAATGTACTGATGAGTGGTAGATTTATAAATGTAGAAGATAGATTCTGTTAAGAAAAATTGTCTGACATGACACAGTGAACCAACCTTCCTAGCAGTAGACATAGCAATTAATTTAATATAATCACTCCTTATAATTAAAGTTCTGAGTATTTTTCATAATGTTGTGGTGTACTTAAATGTAAAAAAAATAAAATATGAAAATGAAATATAAAAAAAAATTAAAATTAAATGAAGGCATTTGCTTTCTTTAAGAACGCAGCTCTTTTTCTCTCTCTCCTGTTCTCTCTCAACTAATAAGAAGGCAACTCCTATGAAAAAAAAAGACGACGGCTGAACAGCTGCTGCGAAATGGAAGTTTGCTACTCCTGAGTGTGTGTATATATATATATATATATATATATATATATATATATATATATATAATATTAGTGTTCAGTATGTGTGTGTGTGTATATATATATATATATATATATATGATAAGACACAGAGTGTGTTGAAACAAAATGGCTATTTTGTAGTGATTTTATAACATACTTATGTTATAAATTTTTATAAAATATATATATATATATATATATATATATATATATATATATATACAAAATTTTTTTTTTTTTTCAAGAAGATATAATCCAGGAAGAGCTCTGTCATAGAGCAAGAATATAATATAAAAGCTCAAACACTAATATTTTATGTTTATCTGATAGATTAGATAACCATGGAATATTAGTGTTTGAGCCTTTTATTATATATATCCTGTTGGTTTCAACCTATGAGGATTTGACAACTTAACCAATTGATTCAGTTATGAATTTTGTGTGATAATCTTAAGTGGAACTTAGACCCACAAGTGATTTGCAAAGGAGGCTACATATGGAGCAAAAGTGTGGATTGTGAGATGAGGTCACTGTTAGATTGGCTGACCTTTTAGATTTTGCTC